TTTGGGTCATCTCCCTTTTCTTTTTGAGAAGCCTGGCTAGAGGTTTATCCATTTTGTTTATTTTTTAAAAAAACAACTCTTGGTTTCATTGATCTGCTCTACAGTTTTTTTAGATTCTATATTGTTTATTTCTGCTCTGCTCTTTATTATTTCTCTTCTGCTGGGTTTGGAGTGTCTTTGCTGTTCTGCTGCTATTTCCTTTAGGTGTGCTGTTAGATTTTGTATTGGGGGTTTTTCTTGTTTCTTGAGAGAGGCCTGGATTGCAATGTATTTTCCTCTCAGGACTGCCTTTGCTGCATCCCAAAGCATTTGGATTGTTCTATTTTCATTTTTGTTTGTTTCCATATATTTTTTAATTTCTTCTCTAATTGCCTGGTTGACCCATTCATTCTTTAGTAGGGTGTTCTTTAACCCCCATGCTTTTGGAGGTTTTCCAGCCTTTTTCCTGTGGTTGATTTCAAGCTTCATAGCATTGTGGTCTGAAAGTATGCATGGTATGATTTCAATTCTTGTATACTTATGAAGGGCTGTTTTGTGACCCAGTATGTGATCTATCTTGGAGAATGTTCCATGTGCACTTGAGAAGTAAGTATATTCTGTTGCTTTGGGATGCAGAGTTCTAAATATCTGTCAAGTCCATCTGTTCCAATGTATCATTCAGGTCCCTTGTTTCTTTATTGATCCTGTGTCTAGGTGATCTATCCATTACTGTAAGTGGAGTATTAAAGTCCCCTGCAATTACCACATTTTTATCAATAAGGTTGCTTATGGTTGTGATTGTTTCATATATTTGGGGTCTCCCATATTCGGCGCATAGGCATTTATAATTGTTAGCTCTTCCTGATAGATAGATCCTGTAATTATTATATAATGACCTTCTTCATCTCTTGTTACAACCTTTAATTTAAAATCTAGTTTGTCTGATATAAGTATGGCTACTCCAGCTTTCTTTTGACTTCCAGTAGCATGATAGATAGTTCTCCATCCCCTCACTTTCGATCTGAAGGTGTCCTCAAGTCTAAAATGAGTCTCTTGTAGATAGCAAATAGATGGGTCTTGTTTTTTTTTATCCATTCTGATACCCTATGTCTTTTGTTGGAGCATTTAGTCCATTTACGTTCAGTATTATTATAGAAAGATATGGGTTTAGAGTCATTGTGATGTCTGTAGTTTTCATACTTGCAGTGATGTCTCTGGTACTTTGTGGTCCTTGCAACATTTCAGTCACAGAATCTCTCTTAGGATCTCTTGTAGGGCTGGTTTAGTGGTGATGAATTCCTTCAGTTTTTGTTTGGGAAGATCTTTATCTCTCCTATTCCTAATGACAGAGTTACTGGATAAAGGATTCTCAGCTGCATATTTTTCTGTTCATCACATTGAAGATTTCTTGCCATTCCTTTCTGGCCTGCCAAGTTTCAGTGATAGGTCTGTTACTAGCCTTATAGGTCTCCCTTTATATGTTAGAGCGTGTTTATCCCTAGCTGCTTTCAGAATTTTCTCTTTATCCTTGTGTTTTTCCAGTTTCACTATGATATGTCATGCAGAAGATCTATTCAAGTTATGTCTGAAGGGAGTTCTCTGTGCCTCTTGGATTTCAATGCCTTTTTCCTTCCCCAGATCAGGGAAGTTCTCAGCTATGATTTGTTCAAGTATACCTTCAGCCCCTTTCTCTCTTCCTCTTCTGGAATTCCTAATATATGGATTTTGTTGCATTTGATTGCATCACTTAATTCTCTAATTCTCCCCTCATACTCCTGGATTTTTATAACTCTCTTTTTCTCAGCTTCCTCTTTTTCCATAATTTTATCTTCTAATTCACCTATTCTCTCCTCTGCCTCTTCAATCCGAGCTGTGGTCACCTCCATTTTATTTTGCACTTCATTTATGGCATTTTTTAGCTCCTCATGACTATTTCTTAGTCCCTTGATCTCTGTAGCAATAGATTCTCTGCTGTCCTCTATACTTTTTCCAAGCCCAGCGATTAATTTTATGACTATTATTCTAAATTCCTGCTCTGTTATATTGCTTAAATCATTTTTTTTAACTTTTTTTTTTATTTTTGAGACAGAGAGAGACAGAGCATGAACGAGGGAGGGGCAGAGAGAGAGGGAGACACAGAATCGGAAGCAGGCTCCAGGCTCTGAGCCATCAGCCCAGAGCCCGATGCAGGGCTCGAACTCACGGACCGTGAGATCGTGACCTGAGCCGAAGTCGGACGCTTAACCTACTGAGCCACCCAGGTGCCCCTAAATCATTTTTGATCAATTTGTTAGTTGTTGCTACTTCCTGGAGTTTCTTTTGAGGAGAATTCTTCCGTTTTGTCATTTTGGATAGTCCCTGGGGTGGCTGCCAAACTGCAGGGCACTTCCCCTGTACTGTCTGGAGTAACTTGTGTTGGTGGGCAGGGCCGCAGTCAGACCTGATGTCTGTCTCCAGCCCACCACTGGGGCCACAGTCAGACTGGTGTGTACCTTATCTTCCCCTCTCCGAGGGGCAGGACTCACTGTGGAGTGGTATGGCCCCTGTCTGGGCTACTTGCACACTGCCAGGCTTGTGGTGCTGCTTTGATGGGATCTGGTGTATTAGCCAGGGTGGATCCGCAAGGTGCACAGGGGCAGGAGGGGCAGGCTTAGCTCTCTTGGCCCTTGGTGGTCCCCTGCGGGAGGGGCCCTGTGGCACCGGGAGGGAGGCCGACCCGTCGGGGGGATGGATCCACAGAAGCACAATGCTGGGTGTTTGCACGGTGCAAGCAAGTTCGCTGAACTGGTTCCCTTCGGGGTTTTGGCTGGGGGATGGGCGAGGGAGATGGCACTGGCCAGCGCCTTTGTTCCCCGCTGAGCTGAGCTCTGTCGTCCGGGGATCAACACCTCTCCACCTCTCCCTCCCGGTGTCCTCTTGCCCTCCCACTCTCCTAGCAGAGCTGCTGACTTTTAACATTCCAGATGTTAAGTCCCGCTGGCTGTCAGAACTCACGCAGTCCGGCCCCTCTGCTTTTGCAAGTCAGGCTCGGGGATTCCGCCTTGCCAGGCGGGCTGCCCCTCCACCACCCTGGCTCCCTCCCGCCAGTCCGTGGAGCGCGCACCGCCTCTCCGCCCTTCCTACCGTCTTCCGTGGGCCTCTCGTCTGCACTTGGCTCTGGAGACTCCGTTCTGCTACTCTTCTGGCGGTTTTCTGGGTTATTTAGGCAGGTGTGGGTGGAATCTAAGTGAACCGCAGGACGCGGTGAGCCCAGCGTCCTCCTACGCCGCCATCTTCCGAAGTTCTCCAGCCGGCTCCCCGGAGGCAGCCACCAGCCACCGCTCCGCAGCCGGCTCCACTCTCCTCAGCCTTGCTCCTCTCAGTATTTTTAAAATTAGAAACATAAAATTGGTTCAGAGCAGACTGGAAAATAGGAAAAGGTAAAAAAAAAAAAAATTCTTCACATTATCACTGTGCAGTGGCAAGCAGGAGAAACAGTTTGGAATAGAGTTCTTTAGACTTTTTTGTGCATGTGCATAGATATGATTTCCCTCCAAAATATATAATAAAGTACCTCCCTTATTAAGATGGATTCTTTTAATCCACTTAGCGATGTATTCTAAACTCTACACACATCAAAAACTGTATTATCCCACAACGTGGTATTTTTAAATGGCTTTAAATTTTTTTACTGCACAAATTGGTTAGTTTAACCTGTTCTCTAAAGTTGCACATTTAGGCTGATTTCTATTTTTATGATATTAAAAAATATATATGTGTATATTAATATATATATATTAAACATATATATGTTATATATATTAAACATATATTATTAACATATATTAAATATAAATATATTAATTAAATATAAATATATTTATAATTAATAAATATATTAATTAATTAAATATAAATATATTAAAATTAAAATATATATTATATATTAAACATATATTATAAACACATATATGTTAAATATATATATTTAACATATATTAAAACATATATGTACATATACATATATATGTACATATATATACATATATACTGCAATAAACATCTGTAAACACATGAATACATTTTAATATAAGATAAATTTCTAGCTACAATTTCTGGGCTAAAGTGTATGTACATTTTTAAGACTTCTAAAACATTTTACCTAATTGTTCTTAGAAAGGTTATACAAATTTTCTTTCCCACCAAAAGTATGAGTGTGTAATTTTCCTCAAGCCATTGCCAAATGGAAGAGTGTTGTTCTAAATCTTGACCAAATTGACAGATTAGTTAAACAGGGATTGTCTAAGTGGTCTTATTTCATTACTGGTGAGATTGGACATGTTTTCAGTTTGTGCTATTTTGTGTTTTCTTATCACGTGTATTTTTTTTTTTAATTTTTTTTTCAATGTTTTATTTATTTTTGGGACAGAGAGAGACAGAGCATGAACGGGGGAGGGTCAGAGAGAGAGGGAGACACAGAATCGGAAACAGGCTCCAGGCTCTGAGCCATCAGCCCAGAGCCCGACGTGGGGCTCGAACTCACGGACTGCGAGATCGTGACCTGGCTGAAGTCGGACGCTTAACCGACTGCGCCACCCAGGCGCCCCTTATCATGTGTATTTTTAATGGAACTGGTCTGTTCATGTCTTTTGCCCATTAATGGGGTCTTCATCTTACTGATTTGTGAAGTGATTTTTACATATTAAAAAGATAAATTGTTTGGTTGTCCTATTTGTTGCAAAAATTTCCTTCCATCGTAATTTATATTTTGATTTAGTTATGGGGAGTTAAATTCAGAAGTGTGAATTGTTCTTATCTGCAGATTTTCCTAACTTTATTTTTTCTGTTAGTGCTAGGCCTGTAAAGTTTCTTCCTCCAATATTAAAGATTATATGAATATTCAAATACAGTTTCTTCTTTAGTATGACTTTTTTTACTCTAATCTTCAATCCACTAGAATTTATTTTGATAGATCTCATGGCATAATGTTCAATTACCTTTATTTTCACAGGATGAGAAGTTTAGAAACTTGGAGGTACCAAAAGGCAGAGGTGCTACATATGGAAAAGATGGCCTAATGTGGTGAGAAGGTCTGAGTTCTGTGTTCCGGTCTCATGTCAGGTATGCCTGAATGTATGTTTCTTACATACAGGCAAGTTTCTTAACCTGTCTGTAAGTTTCAAATAAGCCTGTAGAGTTGCCATGAAGGTGAAATAATACTTTTAAAAATAGGAGTACTATTTGTTGTGTCATCTTCAATTTCTTTCTTCAGTAATTTATAGTTTTCAGAGTACAGGTCTTTTATCTGTTTAGTTAGGTTTATTCCTACGTATCTTAATATTTTTGGTGGAATTGTAAATGGAATTGTTTTCTTAATTTCTCCTGCTTTGTTCTTGGTGTACAGAAATGCAACAGATTTCTGTACATGGATTTTGTATCCTATGACTCTACTAAATTTGTTTCAGTTCCAGCAGCTTTTTGATATGAAAGTTTTACTTCTTCCTTACCCATTTGGATGCCTTTTGTTTATTTTTGTTGTCTGATGGCTGTGATGAGAGTGGACATCCTTATCTTGTTCCTGACCTTAGAGGAAAAGATCTCAATTTGTCCCCATTGACGATGATATTAGCTGTGGGTTTTTCATATATGGCCTTTATTTTGCTGAGGTATGTTCCCTCTAAACCTATTTCGTTGTGGGTTTTTAATCGCAAATCGATGTACTTTGTCAAGTGCTTTTTCTGTATCTATTGTAATGATCATATGGTTCTCATCCTTTCTCTTACTGAGGAGATGTATCATGTTGATTTTTTGGTGAATATTGAACCACCCTGTCAACCCAGGATTAATTCCCACTTGAACATGGTTAATGATTTTTTTAATGTACTGTTGAATTAGGTTTGCTAGTATTTTATTGAAGATAAACATTTAATATTTGTGTAATTTGGCTATACTGGAAAAATCTCATTTTTGAGAAATTTTGAAAGTTTTTAAAAATATATATATATATTTAATTTTAGAGCACGAATGGGGGAGAGGGGCAGAGGGAAAGAAAGAATCTTTAAGCAGGCTCCATGCTCAGCACAAAGCCCAACACAGGGCTTGATCCACAATCCAGGGATCATGACCTGAGCCCAAGTCAAGAGTCAGACACTCAACCAACTGAGCCACCCTGACACCCCAACTTTGGAAGTATTAAAAAAAAGCGGCTCTCGGGCACCTTGCTTGGTCAGCCGGTTAAGCGTCTGACTACGGCTCAGGTCATGATCTCATGGTTCATGGGTTTGAGCCCCACGTCAGGCTCTGAGTCTGGAGCCTGCTTCGGATTCTGTGTGTCTCTCTCTGCTTTCCCTCGCTGTGTGCACGTGCGCGCGCGCTCTCTCTCTCTCTCTCAAAAATAAAAATAAACATTAAAAAAAACATTTAAAGGGCTCTCAGAAAAATATAAATATGATTACATGTATTTCAGGGATAAGTGTGTGTATCCTTAATATATCAAAACAAATTAGTTCAGTGGGAAGATTCTCTTAAGTAAATCAATTTTACGTTATTAAGGTACCTACTCCCCCCACATAAAATGCTGTTTTCCTGAAAAAAATAAAATAAAAAAGTATTTTTCTGTTATGGGTACAGTCCTTTGTTTTCCCCTCCCCAATGGAGGAAATGCTATTAGTATCAAGCCATTTTAACTCCTGTTCGGTACTACTAAAAAAGTCATTTTTGTGTTTATTTTAAAAGAACTATGCCCTTAAAAAAGAAAAAGAATCCTATGAGGAAATATTTTAAGTTTTAGTCTACTAATAGATGTTTCCGAAAGCAATAGCCTCCTGAAAAACACACCTTAATGGAGGAGGGGAGACATCTGGTGGATGCCAGTTAGAAAGAGAACCCAAGACTCACTGGATACCAGGCCCTTAGTGAGGTGTTATGTTGTTTTTTCCATGTGTCTCCGTAAGACAATAACAAGTAAACTGACAGAGGAAAAGGACATTAAAGATATTAATGTCTACTGATTTGCCTTCATTAACAGCGTTTAAAATTATTTTAAATGAGATTGAGTTTAAAAAGTTTATATGTATATATTTTTCTTTTTAGCATATTCCTCTAAATTTTTTAATATCACTTTAGCCCTGACGCACGTATTAACACAGCTTTTTGAAAATACAAACTATTACGAGGTATTCAAGGATATGAAGGAAAAGCTTTCTCAATCTATTTTTTGTATCACTGTTGGCATTTTCTGTCAAAGTTTAAGGTGCACACAGAGCAAAAGCAATCCATTTCTAGGATAGTATGTCACTCATACACTGGCAAAAGTATACAAAGTTAAGTTTATTAATAAACCATGTTTATTAAGCATTGTTTGCAAAGGACAAAACCTAGGAACCACTTAGATTTCTACTGCTAGGAGAGTAAATAAATTAGACAATGTCAACATCGTGAAACCCAGCATCACAAAGACTGAGATCTATGTTACCATTAAGCTGTTTTCTGAACGTATTACAGTATTAAATCATTCACATAAAAAGGATATGTCATGTGAATAATTGCTTAGGAGTTCACAGAATACATATTTTAACTGAATGACCAATGATCATGAGTTATAATCTGTATTTAGCTAATGCTAAGGCCAAACCAAATTCATTCTCACCATTAAGAGAATGAACTTCTGGGATAAAAACAAAAATCTGATTCAAAAGTAATAATTTGAATTCTTGCTATTAAAGTTTTAGTAGGTGTTGGTCTTGCCCTGTGGATTCAACTTTTTTTGCAACACTCTATTTCATGCCTTCGAGATTTCATACTCTGTAACGGACAATGCAGCTTATTAAAATGTATTTATGGAGAATTATATTTATCATGATAAATCGCCAAAGTTCTAATGTTTACTTCATACTGATTATATTTATTTTAAATATAATGATATTTGCTCCAATAACATTGCAGTTTGAAATGCTATACTGTTTCATTGAACATTGTTCTCATTAAATCCTACTCTCAACCTGGCAAACTACCTCCATGTTTCCAATTTCAACACCTTCTTGAAGTCTTCCCTTATTCCTCTTGTGTTCTTATATGGCACTCCTAGAAGCTTTGTTATAGCTTGGCTTCTACTACACTCATTAGTTATTTACATATATATTTTCCTGATGGTCTGTAAGGGGTCTATTCAGTTTTTGACCCAGACCTCTAACAGTTACTTGTTGGATGAATGAAAAAAAGAAGAAAACATTTCCTTACACTGATTCAAAATCTCCAAGAAAAACCCAACTTGATTACATTTCCCAGCTTCTTTGCGGCAAGGGTAGACACGTGACTGTGTCCTAGCAGGCAGAAATGATGCGCACCACTTGCAGGCTGGGCCCCTGAAAACCTTCACGTGCACCCCTTGGGGCTCTTTTCACTCCTGGCTGATTGGGCTGTCCACCCCCACGTGAGCTTGGAAGCCATGTGATGGGAGAGCTGCTGTCAGCCTAGTCAGCCCCTGCTGACTTAGAACCGTCCCCTGCTGTTTTACGACTGAGAAAAAAACTCGCATTAAGCCAAAATAGGTTTGCATCTATTTTGTACTGTGGCCTAGCCAACCCTAATATACTGGTCAAAGAGGAATTTGACCAAGTCTAAATGATTTAGTTCTCTTTCCTAATTCGGGCCAAGTTAGAGATGATGTCTAGGAATCTGTCCATTTATTTAGCCAGAATCGATTGACTACCACCAGCTGCCACATTCTGTGCTTTATGCTGAAGATACAACAGTAAACAAAGAAGGCATGGATCCCGCCTCCGTGCGCCATACAGAATAGTGGAAACGACAGACGAATAAGCAAGACACAAAAAGTAGTTTTAAGTTGTGATAAGTGCTATGAAGGAAATAAACAACATTTGAAGATAGAAAATAAACGTCATGAAGGGGATTTTCAACAGGTAAACGTTTAGGAAAGACCTCCCCGAGAAGGTCATATTGAAGCCAAGATGACGAGGACGAGGAGTTGATGGGCCCAAAGATGAGGAGAGCCCATCCATGTGAAGACTGGAGTTAAAATCATTCCAGGCAGAAGGAGTTTCAAGCAAAGGTTGTAGCATGAGAAATGTTCGCAAGTTTGAGGCCCTAAACAAGGCTGATGTGGCACATGGAATGAGAGATGATGTTGAGCTGAGCAAAGCTGAACTGCGGAGTGGTTTTCAGCCAGGTAAATGTGCCAGCATTCTGGCTCCCTGCTCGTAAATCTACTGTTGGACTAATTGGACAAGGATACTCATATCTTCTGTTTGCTTTACCCAATTATTCTGTCCTATGTAGGCAGATGTCACCGAGGGAGAGACACACAGGGCCAAAAGCCAGAGTGGCCCAATGTATTTGATTTCTTTCTTTTTTTTTTTCAATTAAGGGCCATCTGGGTTACTAAACTAATTTTATAAAACAGAAAAGGAGTTCTCCATGAAAATATTTTTACTCTTTTTTTATGTGTAGTCTTTTATATAAACTCCACTGATTAGAGTTAATCATTCAGAAATCTGAATAAATACATTGCCTCTTCCATGAGTTAGATCATTACATCATTATAATTTACTGATAGAAAAGTATCACTTGTTTTAATTACTGTGACTCTTATTTAATTACCCAAAGATAACATCATCCATAAAAGATATTGAAGCTTTATTCATTTTTTAAATGTGCCTATGACTTCCCATATCTACAGCATTCATTTCAATGATTTTCTTCAATGTGTCCCACCCTAGGATAGCCTCAGTGCTGCTGTGACAAATTGTCTTGCCGGTAGCTACGTGGGTAATGGTCTCCATAGATTTCTCAGTTTTATGCACACTGTGTTACCTAAAGGATTCTTCACTCAATGTCATGTGTCAAGGACACCTATTATAAAAGCCATGGGATATCATTTAAGCAGCTTTATGTAGATTGAAAAGACCATCTTCCATCTTGGAAATAGACCTCAGGCTTCTTTCTGTTAATTAATCTTTCCCATCGACAAGAACATTTTGAAAAAGCATCAGCAGGTTGCTGGGCAAATTCAGGAGCTACAGAGCTTCTGGCCCAGCACCCTAATGGATCCGGGTGTTGACTGCCTCAGGGTTGTTGCGCTGCACCTTACCTCAAAAGTGAAATCACCATGTACAAGAGAGCCACTGCCTTGGCCTCCACAAATTGTTTCTTGGTAATTTTGTTCTGGCAATGGCTTGTTCCTTGGCTTTTAAAGCGATACAAACCCCATTAAGCATCTCCCAGTTGTGTGAGACCACAGGAAATAAAGCATCTTGGTTTTCATTTTTTTTTTTTTTTTAATATCATGGCATGCTGAGAACTGCTTTACTAAAGTAAATCAGGGTTTTGTTTCATGGATTGTCAGTCCAGCATTCTGCATCAAAAGTAATGTGAAATAATATGTGCTTTATGTGAAATATTTAGCCCTATGCCAGGCATACAATGAACATGTAATAAGTAGCAGCTGTCTCTGTGATACTGTTATTATCTGCTCTTACAAAATCTGTTAGTGACTGATGGCTTGAGCTTCAAACCTACATCAATCAATTGAATTAACAGATGTTTATTGAGAATAGAACATGACTAGTTGCTAATTCAGTGGATAACCAGAAAGCGTTATAGTCAGAGAGGGACATAGGTAATAGGGTAACATGCATACATGTAGCATTTAAGTCAGGATTGTAAGGGTTTAGATTTTCACAGGCAGAAGTTTGCCTTCTTTTCATCTCTTCACAAATTATATTTATTTTGACAAGTTATAAACCTGCGAGGAAGCAACACCTGTTTTTCTTGACCTAGAATCCCCCATCGTCATAATTTGATTGCATTTGCTTTATATTCAGGCTTTTTTTTTTTTTCCTGAACTCTTTGCAAATAAGTTGCAGATATCCTGACACTTTACCCTTGATATTTCAGCAGGCCTCTCCAAAGAGATATTCACAGTAGCATTACTTTACTCAAGGATATTTAAAAACACTGCCATAACATCATCTGCTATACAGTCCATCTTTAAATTGTTCCAATTGTCCCCAAACTGGTTTTCATAGCTTTTATTTTTGATCCAGGACATAATCAATAAACAAGCATTCAGTTATTAGCAGGGTTGAATCTCCAGGCCCAGAAGATTTCCACAAAAGTAGAAACTCTTGATATCATTTTCTACACATGGAGGGATGGGCGCTTCATCAATCCTTAAATTAACCATTTTGGGTAGTAAACAAATCCTCATAATTGAATTCTCACTTGATAAGACTTTCTATTAAAATCAAGCAGGATATTAAAACAATTACTCATATAGTTCACTTTTTAAAAGAAAAAATGCTTCATGCTAATTTCCTGATAATTGGGGGATAAGGAGGAAAAGGGGGGGGGCACAAGTGATTGCTTTCCTTTAATTATCTGCAAAATTGCTTCCATTCTCCAGGATGCTTTGTCACTGATGATGTGGACTTAGCATTACGCAGGGAATACAGGTGGCTCATAGGTAAATATTGTTTTTCTACATTCTGTGGTTCATTTGGAATAGTTAGAAACATAGAGACCTATTTCTTTTCTCTGCGTGTGTTTTTGTTTGTAGCAGATAGATCACATCTCTTTGGAAATAATTAGATTAAGTTATAATGCTCCACAGCTGCTGAGTTATTAGCCAAATGCTCACCAAATGGGATCTCTCATTAGGACTCGTGAACAGGTAATCTTTTTTGATAAATGAACTTGTAATTTTCATAACCATTTACACAATACACAGATATCTTCTTTTATATTGATTTCTAATGTCTTGGCACTTAGGATGCTATATTTGATTCTCCCTTTTAAAGGATGTAAAATCATTACTGATACTTGATTAAGTTCCTTCTCAAGGTGGCACAGGATCCTCTAGGAATTAGGTACTGTGGATACTGATACTTCATGCATTAAGACTCAAATATTTTTTCCTAGTCTTAACTTCAAAGGGAAGTCACATCTTCTGATGAGTGGCTTGATATTTTTACCATTATGCAAACTCTGATGATAATTGTTATCCACATAAAAATAGTTCTCATGTTTTTATTTAACCAAAGTGGCTGAATAGGAGTTGAAATTAAGTTAACAAATGAACACAGGTGAAGGCATTCATTTTTACCTGCATCTGAGCCGGAGCCATCCAAATGGCTCCCTGATAGCAATCTAGGAACTTTAGGATGATGCGATCGTTGTCTTGATGAACTGAGAGAGTTCCAATATCTTCTGGCATTGCAAGTAGAAAAAGCTTGCCTCGTTTACAGGAGTTAACAAATACACCTGCAGCATCTCCATGTTTTTTCTTCATTAAAAAACAGTATTGAAATTAGAACCCTCCTACACTGCTGGTGAGAATGTAAAATGATGCAGATGTCTGGAAGTTTCCAAAAAGGGGAAACAAAGAGTTACCACATGACCTGAAATCCCACTCCTAGGTATATACCCAACAGAAATGAAAACATGTGTCCACAGAAAAACTTGTTTGTATCATTCAAAGCAGCATTATTCAGAATAGCCAAAAATGGAAACAACACAAATGCTTATCAACGGATGAATGAAAACCTAAAATTTGGAAGAGCCATACAGAGGAATGTTACTTGGCCATAAAAATAAGTGTAGTTCTAATTCATGCTCCATCATGGATGCACCTTGAAAACATTATACAACGTGAAAGATGCCACTTACAAAAGAATCATATTTTATGATTCTACTTCTATTAAATGTCCAGAATAGGCAATTCTATGAAGACATAAAGTAAATTAAAAAATTGCTCTTAGGGCTGGAAAAGTTGGGGGCATAGGGTAGGGATTGCTGACGAGTACAGGGCTTCTTATTAGAGCAGTGAAAATGTTCTGAGGTAGATTCTGAAATAGGTTACACAACTTTGTGAATATACTAAAAACCGTTGAAGTGTATATTTTAAATGGATCACTTGAGTGGTGTGTGAATTACATCTCAAAAAATGTTTTATGTGTACAAATATATTTCTCTAATGAATTGATATGTTACATTATTTTAATACATAGCATAGTATCTTATATGTGATTGTGTATATGATATGTATGTCCTTTCTGTGGAAGGAGAAGTTGGCTTTATTTTCATAAAGCCACAAGGACAATGCAAAAATTACTCCATAATTGTTACTACTTTTGGAAAAGTATTTTTGAAAGATCCTATTCGTCGTATTTCACCAATTAGTATCTGACAATAGACAAAAACAAAATATTATGGTTAATATATCTGTGTCTATCATAATATTAATGAGGCATAGATAAGTCATAGTGTATATGGCCTGGGGAACACTTCCTCCTCAACAACAATGAATCAGGTTGAAATCACTCTTCTTATAGGCTCTGAGTTCCAGAATATCCTTGGAACGCACTAGCCTTTGCTAATGTGACTCATTTACTAAACAAATATATTAGGAATAAAAATTACATCTACAGTAATGCTCTATTGGAATCTCTTTTTTCTATTGCTTTAAAGACACTTTTGATGATTTGTGGCGTTTTGATCACTCTCTGAAATAGAATAATTCTGTTAAAAAAATCCTGAGTTAATTTTTTTTTCCAGCTCAAATTTGATCCACGGCTCCAGGAAAATGAAAGGGAGAGGAAACTAATAGCTCTTTTGTGTCACTTTCCTCCTCCTTCTAGGTTTTTAGACGCTAGAGGGAACATGGGGAATGGGTGATGGCAGCAACAAATACTTATTTCACGGGGTATGAAATGGCATAGTTTGTGATTATTCTTGTCTAGGTTGCTTTAAGTTGTATCTATTCTTTGGCAAGCATCCAAATGTCCACTCTCTCATCAGACACAGGAATGATTTCAGGGAACATCACAATATTCCAAGTTGTATCAGTTGGGACAGGCTGGCTGGTGCCACAGTACAAACAACCCTATAAAATTAGTGGCTTAAAATGAGAAAGTGTTTTGTTTTTTGTTTTTTTTTCTGCTCCTGGTATATGTCTATCACACATATCTTGCGCAGAAGTTAGGGCTTCTACTCCAAATCTGCTCACTGACTCTCGCCGATTGTATCTTAAAGATGATCTCCATTGCAGAAAGTCCTGGTGGGTATGGCTCCTACAATGAATGTTTTAAAATGGAAGTGAGATCTGTAACTTCTGCTCACAACTCGTGGGCCTGAATAAGGCTTATACACTCACCCTACCTTGAAGAGGACAAGTGTAACCTTGTCACGTCTGGAAATATTTGGCAAACGTATAGCATGGGAGTTGTGGTTCCCACTCTGTCCATTCCATCACCAGCATCTCACCATTACCAGCCTCTAGCTGTTGGAGTCCCTTTATCCAGAAGCAGGACATCTTGCATGGGGCACAGATGATGGGTTCGTGCCTGGCTACCCTCTGTGGTGTCCATTGAGAAGTTCAGGCATCCTTTGTCACATACGATGTATGGAAATATTCCATGTGTCTGAGTGACCACGTATGTCATTGTGGACGCAAGCTGTGGCAAGCTTGGTGATGCACCACCTGGCATTTACTCCCCCTCTTTCCATCTTTCCTTCCCTTTGCCCTCACTCCTATTGCCTTGAGGTTGAACCGCTAGGTAAGGCTTTAACACTTCATCTTTGCCTCTAGAGAATTGAGCTCAGACGAGTAGTTATCCTTGGGAGAAAAGCGCAAATAGTGACTTGGAAAAACCACAAGATGGAATTTCAGACAGGCTGGTAATATTCTACTTCTTGGCTTTGGGAGGTTACAGTGTGTTCAATAACTGATTAAACCGCACATTTGTATTTTGTGTACTCTTCTAAATGTATTTTTTTTAAACTTGAAATCTTATGGAAAAAGAATCCTTGACATTATATTTTATCTAAAGCTGCCACAGAGTCAAATCCTAAAATTGGAGCAGAGGAGCAATGGAAAAGGAATTAGAAGTGAACTGAGTAGACTAAGCCCTACTTCTTTGAGAACCTGAGCTCTTAAAATCTTCCCTGTTCTTCCCTTCCTTTAGTGACACTATTTCCTCTATTTCACAGCCGAGGCACTGGAAGCCCAAAGAAGGAACATCAAATACTACATCCCGCAGATTTTCATGGCAGAAGGTAAGAACAGTCTTTGGTGGGACCAAATGATCCCATTTCCTTATTCCATAATTAGCATCGTTCACGAACCTGAAACATGCAATAATCCTAGTTAAAATCCAACTGCGCTCGTAGCATTTTGTGATTTTTGCCTGAGTCTGTTTAACAAAGTGTTACAACTTCAGGAAGGGCTATGAGTAATACCTATATTAGAGCATAAAAGATATAAGATCTAAAGTTGTCATTGCTATAAAAATACAAAATACCCAGTGATGCGTAAAGCAGATTGCACTGCTCTGCCACTTGCTATAATTGCCTTTCATAAGCTCTTTTTCTCATCAGTTGGAGCTGTGGTTATCGTTTCTGGATATTACTACTCTAAGTTTTTTTCTCTCTTTTTTTAAATTTATTTTTTTTAAGTTTTTATTTATTTTGAGAGAGTGTGCAAGTGGGGAGGGGCAGAGAGAGAGAGAGAAGGAATCCCAAGCAGGGTCTGTGCTGTCAGCACAGAGCCTGACGCGGGGCTAGAACTCACAAACTGTGAGATCGTGACCTGATCTGAAATCAAGAGTAGGTGGGTATAACCAACTGAGCCATCCAGGCGCTGCCTCTTGTTTTTTTTATTTTTTTTTTAAGAATAATGCAAAAGAGCTCTTTGGCATGGCTCCAAGTCTCTACATCCTTAGAATAGGCAATTCTATGAAGACAGAAAGTAGATTAATTGTTCCTTGGGGCTGGGAGGCTTGGGGGTGGGAGAAAGGGCAGTGACTGCTAATGAGTACAGAGCGTCTTTTTAAGGTGGCACCTGTCACCAGGAGGTGTCACCCAGAGGAACTGCGACATCCCACAGATGATTTTGCAGCCTCTCACTTTCTGAGGCAAGATCTTTTTGGGCCATTCCCTCCAAACCCTACCCCCTCCTCTACCTCTGTGGCCTCAGAGCTGAGGTAGACCAGAGGGGGAAGAGGGAGGCATTAAGAGCAGATGGGAGCTCCGCCATGATGCTAGATGCTAGAGCTGGGGAGAAGGGAAAACTTGAGATCTGGGCTGAAGTGGGAGAAAGATTCCTACAATGACAAATGAGATCTGCTTGTTTAGCAGCAGGCTGTTATTTGAATAGCTTTATCCACTATTCACGTCACGACAGCCTATAAAGTATTTCTATTACAGTATAGTAAGGGAACTGAGAAACAGAGATTTCATCTACTTTCCCTAGGTTGCACAATTTCGAGTGGCAGGCAGGGGGGCTCTGGAGGACAGGATGATGTCAGTACAGGATAGGACTTTTTGTGTGTTGAGGAGTGTAGAAAGATCAGCGAGTGTTGTTGAAATGGTTGAAAAGGGGGAAAAAGCCATTTAATGATTGTACCCCCGCAAATTCAGACTGATCTAGGGTGGAAATACACAAATAGGAATAAACAATACATATGTTTACAATATGAAAATATATGCATAGAACTTTTATCAAATATTAATAGCAACTGTCACTGGGAGGTGGAATTATGAGTGACTCTTAATGTTCTTCTTTGTATTTTTAAGTGATTTCCCCAAATTTCTACTATGAATAAATACACTTTTATATGTTAATTAGAAAAAATGCAGGAAAAATTATATAAATAGCCACAACTTAAATCTAGATCCAAAACACACCATTTACCCCTTAATTGTTTCTGTTTGCGATATAAATGAGAGAATTAAATGGAAGTTACTGCACTCTTGGGAATTTTGTTTACAATTCGTAGAGTGGATAGCAAGAGAGGCAGAGAAAGACATGAGAACTGTCAGTATATTCTATGAGAAGAGAGCCATGTTTGTCCCGTTCACCATTGTGTCCTCCAGGAGTTAACCCGCTGACCAGTGCAAATGACCTGCCAGGAAACCGCATGGCCTTTGTATGTCTACAGCCTTGGTGGCTCAGTTGTAATGGTGAACTGCCGTGCCTAGTACACATGCTGGCACACGGTGGAAGCAGCAGGAATGCCTGGGGGACCTCCTAGGTGCTCAGCCGAGATGGAGTTAACTTAGAAAAGAAATAACAATGTAGAAAAGATCTATAGTTACCAAATACACAACAGACCCTGGGGTCTTCATAAACCCTTGAGGAGGGCACACGTTTCAGGGAGCTAAGGCCCTGCAAGAAATGCTGGGGGCAAAATGCAGTGACTTGAAAGCTATTACCATTGAACTTTATCCCATCTGTATACAACAAAGTGGGGGCAAGGCAGGAAAGTGCACTGCCTTCGAAACCATCTAGTGTTTGACTCTGCATTTTGTGACTTAGTGTAGACCAACCACCAAACGAGAATGCAATATTTCAATAGGATGACCTATATCTCCTAACTAGCAAGTATCTAGGTCATTCAGATGAGCTTTCATCTGTAATCTTGGCTTTATGTAGATATGATCTCATATTTCTAATTTTATGAACTGAGTTATAACCTCAGTACCTTGGGCAATGATCAGACTAAATGATAGGATATCCATAACTGAAAATATCTTGATATTCACTTTCTACCTACCAGCCCTTGGTCAAGAGTAATTGTAATGATCAGTTCAATTTATATATAAACTCTTGCTCCTGGAGTTCCTTTCTATTAGTCTCTTGTTACTGTTGTTTAGTAAACTGTATTTCTTTATAAATATGGAGAAAATCCAGGCCTTCACTAGTGAAATCTTTGGTGGAATTCAAATGAGTACAGTTTAATCATAAGAATCATTTATATTTTAGTATTTGTGTTGAATTCTTAATATCTAGCTGCTTGCCTCATTTATATCAAGTGACTGTCAGCAGTAATATTTCTTGAGTAAATGTCTCCCAATTGTACCTCCATTTATACTAAACATCACCTTACATGTAATTTAGGGACTTTGAGGCTACGTCCGTCTGAAACAACTGTCCCATCAATTAATAGGATTCTTGGTTTTCTATACGTTGGTTTTGGTATACCTGTGATGGCATTATTTAAAAAGAAATTGGCAATTGTTTAGTGCCATCTAGTGGGTAGTTTGTTGTGAACAAAAACTAAAAATCTTGTTCAACAAAGAAGTTGTGTTGCATTTTATTATTTATTATAATGCTATTAAATATATATAATTTTAATATCAAGTTTTATAAATTAGGACATAACAGAGCCAACAAATTCTAAAATTATTACTATTGCATTAAATAACTAGTTTTTTGAATAGGTAAGAAATACATTAGAGATTGTCCAAATACTTTATAATTGCTCTCTTTTATTGAAAAATGTAATGTTCTCAAAACTAATTTAAAATTCCATAACATGTATCTCTCATTAATAAAAAAATTTAAATTATGCTCTTCAGAAGAAGTGGTTTGATATTGATGTTAAGTGTAGGAGTGTTAATAACAAGAGCATAATTTCTTACAAAATTGCTTAGTTTGGAAAGCCTATGACTTACTACAAATAAAGTATTTTAGGGAAGTAACCTAGCACATTTTAGCATAACATTCATAGCGTTAATTTTATACACTGTTGCTTTCATTAGTTTCAGAAACAAAATATCAGTGTATATTCTACCATTATTAAAAAATACTTTTTAAGTCATCACTATTTATAGCTTAACATAGAATATATGTGTGCATTGTTGGTCAGCATTATTAACTATCACTTCAACATCATCTGAATAGAATGAATAGAATGAATAGAATTGAATAGAATGAATGTGTGGATGGAATGGAATAAATGCAGATGGAAAGGACGCCTTTTTGTCAAGGATGTCCGTGCTCGGGTGCAGCTGACAGTATGGAAGACAAGGAGACCTCACGGGTATTGCCAAAGCGATCTTTTTTCCTTCCTTCACTGACTAAACTTGGTGATGATGAGAACTGCACAGCAATGAAATGCATGGTCTTGTGAGATACAGGTCTTGCACCAGATGTCTATGAATAGCAGCTGGATGGCCGTGATGGTGATGATGTTATGATGGCGGTGACTGTATCATGACATAACAAAACTGCCACTGAATGTTCACTGTGGACCAAGAAAGGTTCTCATTGATTTGCATAAATTACATTAATCTTTTTCCACAAACATGTGAATTGGTACTATTAGTTTTCCCATTTTGTGGAACAGAGAAAAAAGGTACATGGGGTTAAGCAACCTGTCAAAGGTCACACACCTGGTCACACAGGGGTATTGGATGGATGAGAACCCAAGTATGTTGGCTTTTGCTCTTAATTTTGCTCTGTTGCTAATTGCAGCAATTATGAATGGGTTTCAATGTCTTTACTCCTCTCATTTCATTATAAATGAATTTCTGGTGTGATGTGTGTGGTTCAATTAGAAGGCCCCAGCATACCTTTGAAATTCTAACATTTCTGTGTTTCTGCAAAAGAATTTTTTCTCGCAGACAGAAGGAATATTATGACATTGCATCTCTAAGAAATGAATGTAAAATTCCCCTTGTGAATAACAATCAGCGTTGTCATTAAAAATTGGCATTGACAATTGACGTTGACATTGTCATCATCAGGGTTTCCAGGATACTAAATTCCTTTCTGAATCCTGGGAACCCTCTTTGTGGAGGTCCAGGCCCCATCACCCAAGCAGACCCTGGCCAATGACCAATGACCAATGCTTGGTCAATCACATATTCTCCCTTGGGATTCTAAGTCATGGACAGATGATAGAAGGAATAAGGGACAACCCGCATTCACAATGGTGGTCATACCTGGAGACATTTGCGGGAGAAGGGGGCTTGTGCAGGCTACTCCTACCAAAAGTTGTCCTTTCTGTTCCTTGGCCTCTTATATTTTACCAGCCTGGTTTGGCAGCCTGTTATGAATAGCGAGCTGCCATTATACTTCTAATGTATCCTATTTCTGCATAAGATCATCAGAGTCTGAGAACCTTGACTGACACCCCTTTTCTAACACCAATATGGTGATGCTGACAGCTACTGGTACTTGTCAACATTAGAGAGATTACTTTGGTGCTGTCTCCACTAAATCATGTTGAAGCATATGAGTATAATTGATTATGATTTTCCAGTGTAATAGA